TTCTGGGAGCAGTTCAAATGGCTGACATGGAAATAGAATCTATTTTTTCCACTGGGNCGGGCAATAAACCAAGGCCCTGTGTCTAGTTGACGTAACAAGAATAAGGTATTTATAAATCCTCGAGCTCTACAGGCTATATATTTATATAATCCTTCTCATTCATCTCGCTAGACGTTCTGATGACAGGTGATTTTTTGAGAAGACAATGTTGCTAGAAATATTGAAAGTATTTGTGAATTATTTCAGGGTAATTTAGGATATCATGATGTTCAGTATACTGATATGTTTGTAGTAAATGATGATGGATATACGTTAATTATGGTGGCAGCCATTCACGATCAGTCCATCATTTTAAAAAAATTACTGGCTACCAATAAAACAACTATTAATGCTCAACATTCTAAGGTAGAACTTTCATTGTCATTTATAAAATATACTCTTACAGTGGCTGAAATACATGAATAGAGACTTTAGTGGTTTGGGGCCCTTTACCCAGGATTCTGTATTTTGTCTGGGGGTGGGGGTTCAACCAGTCTCTATGATAGTTTAGCTACTGTATTGTAAAGAGTTTTTCTGGTCTATGTATATCAGTGGCACTTTTAGTTTGTAAAACAAGACTACTAACTTACCAAATATTGTTATTTTGTTTATATGATTCAGTGAAATTAATAACTTTCCTTTACACCATACTCATTTCTTGGCATCATTTGTCTTAATCCATATTTTATAAGATAAAACAATAATGTCACCAGAGAATGTCCGCAAAACAAAATCAGTTAAATCCATTTTATACTAGTAAACAGCTATTATAGCTCTAAAGAAATTTAGAAGGTTTTCTTTCTGTTATAATATTTTATATTCTGATTTATATTTTGAAGTTCTGGTAATTTCAGCCAAACAGTTACCAATTTCTTGAATAGAATGTAATGGTATATTAGTAACCTAGTAATAAGTAATATATTAATATTTATTGTAAAATTATCTAATTTTAGACTGGAATGACTGCATTGGCTATTGCTGCTCAGAAAGGAAATGAAAATTGTGTTCGAGCTCTTTTAAGGTTAGTGAATTTTTCGTTTAATACGCTCAAATTATCTCCCTTCATTTGGTTGATTTGGTTGTTTATTAGAAATGAGATGAGGGTACAAACCATTTTTCTAGGGAGAGGAAAATGTACCCCTGTAATGTCATTGCCACTGAATTAAATACACATGCCTTGAACCATGTTGACGTGATTAAATAAAGACCGTACAAGCAAGACAATTCTGTCAATCAAATATATCGTACAAAGAATGGTAAAATCTGGAGTAAAAGTTGTATAGTAGTAAACTCCTCCAGAAGTACCATCAGGTGTTTCCAAAAGAATAAGCATGGTCTTCTGAAGAATAGTAAAATATGGAGTAAAAGTTGTATAGTAGTGGACTCCTCCAAACAGAAGTACCATCAGGTGTTTCCAAAAGAGTCACCTGTCACTACTAAATAGGTAGTAAAACTGTTTATTATTGTAATATTTTAGGAACGGTGCTAATCCGTGTATTGGAGACATGGAGAGTTATCTTCCCATTCACCATGCTGTTTATCACAATCATGAGGCGGTGGTAGAAATTATTCTCGAGTTTTTTCCTGTGGCTTTTATTGTAAGTAGATTTTATAGTAATCTGGTAGGATATTTCTCTTTATCTAGTAGTGAACTTTCACAATATTCAACAGTTGATTTATAGAACAGTCTAATAGCAAAGATATTTCTTCTACAGTGTATGATATACTCTATATATATATCTATTACAGGGCCTGTATAAAGCTATTAGAATGTCTAAGATATACTCTATATATGTATCTATTACAGGGCCTGTATAAAGCTACTAGAATGTCTAAGATATACTCTATATATGTATCTATTACAGGGCCTGTATAAAGCTATTAGAATGTCTAAGATATACTCTATATATGTATCTATTACAGGGCCTGTATAAAGCTATTAGAATGTCTAAGATATACTCTATATATATATCTATTACAGGGCCTGTATAAAGCTATTAGAATGTCTAAGATATACTCTATATATATATCTATTACAGGGCCTGTATAAAGCTATAAGAATGTCTAAGATATACTCTATATATGTATCTATTACAGGGCCTGTATAAAGCTATAAGAATGTCTAAGATATACTCTATAGATGTATCTATTACAGGGCCTGTATAAAGCTATTAGAATGTCTAAGATATACTCTATATATGTATCTATTACAGAGCCTGTATAAAGCTATTAGAATGTCTAAGATATACTCTATATATATATCTATTACAGGGCCTGTATAAAGCTATAAGAATGTCTAAGATATACTCTATATATATATCTATTACAGGGCCTGTATAAAGCTATTAGAATGTCTAAGAAATCGTCTATTCACATGAGATTAAAATCAGCCTGGGACAAGAGACAAGAAGAAATCGTGACACCGACGCTTTTGGCATGTTCGTTTAACGGTGATGCTGATCAACTGTATGTTTTACTGGACGAAGGTGATTGTATTAATCCCAAGGTTGGTGAAATAACTGTTAATTCTACTGACATTACTCTGGTAGCATGCCAATGCCAGTGCTTTCGTAACTTGTACACCTGTACAAAGACCCTAAAAGCAGCTGCACTCTATTCAACAAAATACAAGTCATGACCACCCTTTTCTAAATCTTAACAAATCATCCTATTACACTGCTGTGATGTGAGATATATTCTCTATTGCTACAGCAGACAACATATTATCTTTTGTTTTATACAGTAGACTGCTGTATCAATAGACACTTCCTAATTATTAATAGAACTGTCCTGACAAAAATTACCTCATTGTACACTGCAGCAATCCCAAGTTTGTCAAATAACTGT